AAAATTCCCCCCCCCCCCCCCCCATTTATTTGTCATCTGCTGAAAGTTGATCTGCTAACTTCACTCGCTCGTCCTTCCCCGTGACGTGCTCCACTATTTTCCTACCCTCATGAAATTACTGTTCCCACTCCGGGTTTGGCTTTGGCACCTCTCGCCCCGTCCAATTTTTCTTACGCGGACATGAATTTCAGCACCCTGTGTCCATTACGCCAGCCCTTTATCCTTGTTAGCCGCTTCCTCGGCCCTGGGCTCCACTTTCCACCCTCTTCCTGAGGCAGCCATACCTACTACGTTTATCACTACTTAGGAGGGTGCCCGTCTCCTTTATCACAATACTGCCTAACTCCTCTAGGTAGGGCCTTATCAGCATCCCACCAACGAAGGCCGCGGGCTTACCGGTGCCCATCTTTTTCGCCCTTCCGCTGCGTTATACCGCTCCTCGGCTTCCCGTGCCGTTCAACCCCACGGACTAGTCGACCCTCCACAGGGTAGAAGCACCAGTAGCTATGGGTAATTTTGACAAAGCGAGCGCCGTAACGAATCCCGGCGCCGTACTACAACCCATAGTCGTACGCATAGAGGGTTGAAAGTTGCGTCCGGCAACGAGAAGGGTTTCCCCCAGAATTAAGAGGGTCGCAAAAGCCAGTCTGTATTTTCGCTTAAAACATTTGGTGGACCGTGTACGTCGCGGTGAGTATAAGCCATACTTGTATCTACTCATTGCACCCTCATACCGGAAACCCTTTCCAGGCACGTCTTTACCTACGTTAATGTTTCTTGTGTAAACCGTACGGCGGTTGTCAGGCTACTAGACTTCACGTTTCGTTCGACTTCATACGGCCAGTTAAATGTTTTTGTATTAAATGCAAATTTTTTGTGCCCATTTAAATTTCAGATGCAATTAGATTCATTTAGTCGCGGGGCGGGGCGGGGGGTCAGGCGGCGGCGAGGGGAGCGGTGCCCTGGGCTGGCAATTAGTATTCGCTGAGCTAAAGGAATCGCGTCACTGTGAAAATTTCCGAATAAATCAACTCAGCCGATCCCGGGTTATACGCGCTGGGCACACCCCCTTTAACGATCTCATCCCTCTCCCCCTCCCCCCCCCACCCCTACGGATTTACGGTCTCGATAACTAGCATTTTATTCATGAAACAACCTTTATCTTTTTATTTTGGATTAAGGGGAGGCTAATTTTAAATGGGCTTTCTACCTTTATATATCCTTACATTACTTTAGCTTATCGTTCCTCTTGAGCTTATCGTACAATCGAAAGTCCTCTTCGTATTTATACCCGCTCTAATGCTATAAGCATTCTGTATAGCCAGCCTTGGAATAGTTTTCAACGTCAATTGTTAAATTTAGGACTTTCGTCATATTTCCATTGACTTTGAATTATTCAATGACTACCGCACCTGTAATTAATTAAAATAAACTCCCATCGGCCCATCAGCACACAGCAGAGCAGAGTCTCTTCGTAGGAATGATATACATCGAATACATGGAATTGTACAAATTCCTGTTTAATTGGGCTTACTAATATTTGAGGCAGCTGCCGGATCAACCGTACAGAAACAACGTGTTCGTTAGGCCGAGTATCCCCTCTGGAATTTCGGTGATAAGCTTGGAATTAACAGAGGGCTGCTTTATATCGTTAAATCGTACGAAAATATTATACCAAGCGATATTCATATACAAGGTAGCGGTAAATACAAGTTTTTATTTTCTATTCAGATTTTATATTTATGGCAGACTTTCCTATTTTTCGAATTACAGTATATTCGTTATTTCTATGTTTATCTATACCTGTGTCCACGTATGAGAAACAAGGACTTTACAGGACACGATAGCATGTACTCGAAAGTACATACATACCTAGGTACCTACCTTTACACGGACTAGATGCACGAAACATGTGTGGTATGTTACGCCAGGGGTGTAACAAGGACCGCAAAGGGGTAGGGCGGTTCTTGTCCACACTGGGATACGTTCCTTATCGCAACCACCGAACACACCCCTGCTACCACCTGTACCGGCCATGTATGTTTAGCCACTAAATTCATTAGCAAGTAGTTAGAGGCTAATCGCTTTTCATCGTCTAGCATATATCGGATGGTTTTACCCTAGCAAAATTCCATTTTACGTAACCAGTTTCTATCAAGAAGTTTCTTCGGGTCAGCTTCCTGGTGGTAAATCGTGCGGGTAGCTAGGATAAGAAATTACTACCAGTGAAGATTTTAACGCCTAAATAAAATACATATCGAAAGAGCCTATCGACTGTAGTCCAATAAGGGTTGGTGTGGAGTTAAGTTACTCAAAAAGGGTTTTTGAATTTATTGATTTCGTTTTTCGTTACCCATTAAAATTCAAAGAGTGGTTGGTCGCTCGAGGCGGATAAGCAAAAATGAAGGAGGGTAGAAAAAAAATGATATGAAAAATTAAATTTTCATTGAAAACGTACTGTAATAATATATCTCGTCTGGTAATACAATAGTGTGTACTAATGAGATGGTCGAATTCAAAAATTTAGTATTAATTTTTTTTTTTTGACAAAACATTACGAATTACATTGTTTTCGACTTTTTGCCGCGATATACATTTATCTCTGAGGTTCATTAATCTTGACACTTCATAAACTCAAGCGAGTGACGTAGATGGCTTAGGATTTCGAGGGCGCACGTGTGTCTTAGCGTAAGGGGTGACAGAGGGCAGATATCAAATATGACGAGAGCATGAGCAGGCTAATTATGTGGATTTAAACGTGAATAACTTTGCCGTGGGATATCGCGAAGTTGAGAAGACCATGATTATGGCGACGTGTTCGCCATATGAAACATCCCCGTGGGGAGTTGAAAACGTGTGAGCCGAAGATGGTGCAAGCTTCGGAGCAACCCTGTGGCAAAATCCTTGAGCCGGATTCCCATCATGCTTTCGGCCTGAAGGGGCGAGATAAAGGAGCCAGGGGGTTGCTATCTACCGCTTGGAAGACGCACTGATAATTTACTAATAAGACACCCCTGGGGTTTCTGATGAGGATTCAACCCCGTCCGCGAATCCGCCGCGTGCCTTTGCCACACGTCTCCGGGTGGATTCCCATTTCCTGTCGAGAGTAGATGCCCGGAAGCGCGAACGTGCAAAGGAGTCGCCAGTCTTCTGTGACGCTTGGAAAAAAGAAAGTCAGGGCTGAACCTAGCTAAGGGTGAATCTCGGTTGTTCCTTCGAATGGAAGGTCTGATTCAAGATTTCATAAGTTTTTATCCCTATCCTCTATAGTGGATTAAGTGTATCCATTTACTTTTATTCTCCACACTCTGGATATACTGAATTCTCCTTACGCGAATCACCCTCAAGATTTCCTTTTCGTCACCTTTTAGCCCACGTCAGTTCAAAAAAGCATATTATCACTAGCATGTATGATCGTAAATTTTAAACAATATGGAATTGACGCGAAGACATAACATATCTGAACCAAAATTTATTAGGGTCGTGACTATGCTAGTGGGGTATGTACAAACTCCGAATGGAGTATTAAAATGGTGAGATACTACAGTGGACAGAGCTTAACATAGCATGCAAGAGACTGGGAAGATTATTCATATAAATTATCTCTTTATTAAGCACTGTCAGACTCTTTGACTCTAATTTACCTACATCCGCAAGATTTACTCTTACCCCCCACAGAGGGACGACAAAGCACTGGCAAAATAATAGAAACAATGGCAGCCATTAAACTTTGAGCCTATGACAATAGAATTCGTGACGTCAATATTTTCCTACTGTTCCAAGTACCATAGCACGTAATCCTAAATTCCGTCCGTTTGACAAACGAAGAGTAGTTACGCGAGTAGAGATAGATAGAGAGAGAGAGAGAGAGAGAGAGAGAGAGAGAGAGAGAGATAAAGTGAGAGGAAAACACTCAGACATTTCAGCCCTTTTTTTCCAAGTCCCATGACGATCCTTCCGTGGAAAAAGAACCTTCGAAGGAGACCCATCTTTCATCCCATTCTTTTTCTTAACGAATGATCCACTCTAGGGTGCCATAAGGGGGCAAATAAGTACGAAAGAGTTCCCACGTTCCTAATGGCTGCAGAGAGAGCCCTCTATCCCTTCCAAAATGTATTACAGCAAATTTTCGATTATTAAGTACGAGTAGGTCGCAGACGAGAGAAGCTGCCAAACGAAATTCTCAGATCGGTCTTCTTATATTACGGAGACTTGGTGAAAAAAAAAGGCTCAGAAAGTATCACCCTCTCGAAACCCTGAATTCTATCGCACCCTCCATATTTCAATGAGGATCGACATATATATAGAGCATGGGAGCATCCAAAGCTCCGGTTAACTTGTTGGATGGGAGGTGCCATTAGGGCTTTGCAAAGAAGTCTGTAGAGAAGCTATTAGGCAAAGGGTCCAAGGGTCAAGCCATCCCATCTTCTTCCCTTATTTTCTACGACCCTTAGTTCCTTCCATAGAAGTTATAGTTGGTGCGTAAGGGTAGATGACTTACTCGAGGGTATGTCTGACCAACAGTAACCCCCTTCTTTGACACGATGCCTTTCCTACCCTCTTGCCGTTACTAGGGTTTCATATATTTTTTTTTTCAACCCTTTCTCGAAAACCAACCCCCTCGCAATGTACACAAGTTACGTCGACGAAAGTCTTATGATTGCTTCGAGTCTGGAGTGGTTAGGTAGCGCTGGCGTACCTGGTGAAACATAATTAGGGTCGACCGTGACGAAGAGGTGCTACTTGCAAGAGAAGAAGTTGGCTAATAAAACGATTATTGTGTTAATCCATTTTTCATATAATTTTTAAAACACGGGATGGAAATTAAAGAATTTGTTGTAAAAGAATATTTTTCGAATTTTTATCGATGGAGTTTTTCGTTTATTTATTTATTTCATGTACGTCCTATAGCTGTACTTGGAATCTTTATAACGTCATTCGTATTGTTCTCACTGTACTTTACAGTCGATTGCATTTCTAAATACAAGGTAGTTTCGCCGTATATCTCGAGGATCCCTTTGATTCTGGATTATCATACAGATCCATTATTATAGGGAGTTAATGACGGCCCTGAATGCGGAGTGTGCTCTGATTGAAACACGGCCGATAATTTCCGGTAGTTTGGCGCATACAGCCAGAGTTGCATGCAATGCGTTGCATTAGATGGCGACGGTGCCAGACTACGTTTGATACGGTGCGGAACGTACATTACGGTTTATTGACTACGAGTTACCGTTCGCGGTATTTAATCGGAAAAATCAACGAAAATTAGATTAATTACTTTGATGACTTAGTAAATTAAATATTCTCTCCAAAGTTCATTGAAAATCATTGATACGCAATACTTGGGATACTTACGTTGATGAGCTCGAATTTTTCTGTTTTCAATCTGAAACAGAAATCATCGTGAGCGTTAGTATGTAATTAACGACTAGTAATTAATCAAATTTGTTAATTGAAATATTAATGGCATAGGTATTATACGGATAGTCGAATTATAAACGGTTTTGGAAATCGACAAAGCTTATGGATATTACTATTTATAAATACAATGACTGTACAAGTTTGCAATAAGCGTGGGCTTATCGCAGCGGAAAATTATTTTCTCCGCTCATACCCAGCCAGCCAATTTTGGAAGTTGGTGGGCCATCGTAAAACTAATTTACCAACAAATTTTCCAAAATAGGAATTCAGTCTCGGCGAATAGTTCAAAAAGTTACTCCAGGAACAGGGACTCGTTGATCTACGTTGCGGTTCTGTCTGGGTCGTAATAAACCAATGAAGGGGAGAGGGGCTGTCTCGACTGATACTTTAATAGGCCCAGTTCAAACAGTCATTAGGTCCCAGTTGATATTATTTACAAGTGTAATTGACTAGACAAGTGTCAATAAAGAAGCTCAATAGGAATACCTGAGAAGAGAGATACAACGTTTTAATTCAGAAAAATATCCTCCACATATATATATATATATATATGTATATATGTATATATATCCCAATTTCGAGAGTATTAATCAAATCGATCGACTCTCACAATAAATAACACTTTATAATCCAGAAATTGTAACCCTCATTTAAATACAATATCGTACCAAAAATATATTCCAGAAAGATTTCTCAGGTTAATCCCGAATACGATTATCAGTAAAAAAAATAGTTTTTCAAGTAAAAAAAAAAATTATACGAGTAAATTAATCCAGAATACCAAAAAGGCGTCGAGACGTCTAGAACCGCCACAAGTCCTGTATAAGAGTTTAACTAATAGTATCCATCATTGATTTGACGTGCAATTCTCTAAAGACAATTGTTTCTACAGCGAACTACTAAAGGATTGTAAAGTGCAGTTTAAACGTTATAGCGAAAAGATTAGAGTCTCGTTACGGTAGCAATTACTGTACCCAGGCGTGGCGTTAATTTACGATTAATAGTTGCAGTAAGTAAAGGAGCGAGCCAACTCCTTGCCAGTATGAATCCCATAAAGCAATCTCATTGGATTAATCTCAGGGAAATTTTCCAAGGCGTCGAGACTAAGAGGAAATCGCGAAACGCCGTACGTAGAAATCACGCAGGAAATTACAGATCGTTCCTAAAGGACGTCAACGTCTTCGAACTGCCTCCTGTTGTTTGTTTGCTGCACAGTAAGTACGGAGAGAGAGACGTGCGAGGGTTATATTATATTTACCCAAATGTACCTCCATTAGCAAAACCGCGAACTATTCCGGAAACGGAATGAACTCTAAACGGAGATTCACGCAGAAGTAAATATCTCTACCCTTGGTAAATTATCTCTTTTATTATGCAACCACATGAATACCACCACTATACTGGTTAAAGGACCGGGTATCTAATGCAGTAGTATTTAAATTTTTGTTATGTTGCGGACTTGCGGAATGCCTAAAAAAATATAGTTTGCAACAGTGACGCAACCTATTGGACTGTCATCGTCTGCTTAATTAAACACGAGTTTCTCTCATTTTTTTCCCGAACTCCAGCATGTCAAAGTATTTTGCATCAGTGCCATTCACCATTCAATTGTTTACGCAACAATTTCTGCTTTCACTCTTTCTTCCTTTCCTTTTATTTTTTTCTTCTTCGTCGCTCATCCTTCTCCTCTCCACTCTCATTTCGTACCAGCTACGCAATTTGCAGTTTTCGCTCCGCGGTGATTAAGATGCTTAATCTGTGCAAGCACTCCGCCCACTTTCCAACTCTCATCCTGCATAGCAGTAGCCCCACAGTGCCGTGTTTTAAAGTTGAAAAAGCGTTCGAGCTTAAAGAGTTCTGCTTACGAATGATCTATGTCATGTTCTCTGTACTCTCTGCGCGCATGAGCATATATAAAATTCTTGACTTTGTATCACTCCCCTTTGACGTAACTAAATTCTCATTAAATTTTACCTGCAAATATATATATATATATATATATAATACATGTACACAGTTTCCATTGTTTGTATAACTATATATACTACGTTAGTTTCAGAGAAAAAAAATTCGCTTTGCTCCGATGAAATATTCTGGACGGATATTAAACGTTATTACCGATAGCGCGTGATTTAGCAACGTCAGTAATAAACTCCGTTTACTGCAGTGGTGCAATATTCGCGGAATATGGAGGCGCCAGATAAATTCTAGAGGCAATTAGCGGCTGGTAGCGATAAAACTCATAATGTCGTACGGGCCGGGGGCCAGAAGCTTGTGAGCCGTCCCTGCAATCTTTATGAGCGCTCCGGTATATGTATATCCGGGTCGGTAGTAACAATGGCAAATCGTTGGATCATGAAAATTCTCATTTAACAGCAGTCCAAAAGCGTCCAAGGGTTACCAGAATCCTTCCTGCTGTAAGGGCCGTACCCTTATCTAAAATGACAGGCACCATTTTCCAACCCGTCAAGATACGACGATGTAGGTTATATATATATATATATATATATATATATATATATATATATATATATATATATATATATATATATATATATATATATATAATACATGTACACAGTTTCCATTGTTTGTATAACTATATATACTACGTTAGTTTCAGAGAAAAAAAATTCGCTTTGCTCCGATGAAATATTCTGGACGGATATTAAACGTTATTACCGATAGCGCGTGATTTAGCAACGTCAGTAATAAACTCCGTTTACTGCAGTGGTGCAATATTCGCGGAATATGGAGGCGCCAGATAAATTCTAGAGGCAATTAGCGGCTGGTAGCGATAAAACTCATAATGTCGTACGGGCCGGGGGCCAGAAGCTTGTGAGCCGTCCCTGCAATCTTTATGAGCGCTCCGGTATATGTATATCCGGGTCGGTAGTAACAATGGCAAATCGTTGGATCATGAAAATTCTCATTTAACAGCAGTCCAAAAGCGTCCAAGGGTTACCAGAATCCTTCCTGCTGTAAGGGCCGTACCCTTATCTAAAATGACAGGCACCATTTTCCAACCCGTCAAGATACGACGATGTAGGTCAGTATACGTACATTAAAATCAAAATTATACATGGTATATATATACATATATAACGGAATAACACTGTCAAATTATTAGACTTGAAATTCTGCCTTAGGCATATTTTCATTACATCCCTCTGAAACATCCCGGCGTTGTTTTCCCGTTTGAACGTACTACAGGCACGTGATGCGAGGGTTGATGCCTAGAGGGCTGGCGTCGCGACGCCGAGTCTCATCCCTTTCAAGGCGTCGAAAATACGTACTATTGAAAGAAGCACGACGCTCACGTCTCTGAAGGAAAGTCTTCATTAGGATGCTGCTCGGAGGCGAAACGGATATGCGGAAAGGAAGAGACCGGAAGAGAAGTCAGTCTCAAAGTGTTTGAGAATTCGAGCGCGTGCACAAGCACGACATTTTCCAAGCGAGAGACCTAGGAGCTAGACGTATATATCTGCATATATATATATATATAATGTTATATATCCAGATATATACACACACAATCCTATGTAGCTACATTCAGTTTCTGGTTAGCTGCTATTCAATCTACGACTCTTGCATCTTTCGTATAAACGTTGCGCAATACGTTTTCTCTGTAGAAATTGAAAAAAAAATCATATTCCGGAAGTGAAATACTACGCGAAGCAAAGCACGGCTAGAAGAAGAAAAGCTAAAGGAAATAGATAAATTTGACAAGAGTATAAAAAATAAGTCCAATTTTCTTGCCACTATTTGCATATACGTAGGACTGAAATAATAATAATCAGCGATAAGAATATTCAAAATGGTGACATCAAAGAATATATATAATACGTAGATATCGAGTATGTCGAGGCTTATAGTATAATATAGGAGTAGAGATTTCGATAATACCACGTTTGTTAGTACCTAGTATGAACAGATCTCGATCAATTATTCAAGCATTTGTGCCAGTGAAAAGCCCGTTCGGTTTACCCAGGCATAGACGTTCGAGGGGTCGGTACGAGTCTCTGGTATAAACAGAAGGGGATGCTATGCCGGCTTTATGGAAATTTGAGGCATGTATCACCGGCTCTTGAGCCGTGGCTACGCGATTTGCATTCCGGAGTGATGCCGGCATACGGCCGGCTTAATACGACGGATAATATGAAAGCGTTATTTCATTTTAAGCGGCCATTACTCCCCACCACCGTTGCTCTGACTCTCTCTCTCTCTCTCTCTCTCTCTCTCGCACTCGCACTCGCACTCTTATCCGCAACACCCCGTCTCTTTATATCTTCCCACTTCCATTGTTTCTACTGGCTCTCTCCCACCCTCTGAATCCCCAGAAACCTTGGGAAAGATTACCAGGGGAGTAGAAGCTGGCTTAAATATTTGATTTTAACGCGAATCATGTATTAAGTACCTGAACGTGGTACCGTACATTTATACTGGTGTATTTCTTGGATGTAGCCTATTACAAAGTTGGCGCATCTATTTCTGGATGACGTATTATGTATTTATATATTCACTGATTGGCCTCGGTTGAGATAGTGCCTCTTTGGGAAAGCCCTTCTTGGGGGGAATAATGAACATGTTAACTCGGCTAAGCGTCCATAAAATATGCAGAGCCACGTAGTGTTACCTACTATTTTTGTTGTTGGAAGTTTCTTAAGCGAAAACGTAATCCAAGTTTGTAGCGTAATTAGAGGTTTTTTTTTTTCGTAATAAAAAATTAATTTTCTGACTTTGATATTTATCACTTTCTCGAGAATTGTTTGTGAATAATACCACTTGTTCCGAGACTATGCTATATTTATGTGGATTATGGTTCTCAGGGTGCTGGTGGAGAGTACTTGGGTGTCAGGAGGCATAACATAGGTCGATACTAGAATGTGAGACTGGGAAGACCTTAAGAGAATTCAGCCTGTTATTTGATGGAAATAATATAATAATGTCTTTATACTATAGTAT